ACCTCCCTTCAATCAACTGCACCAAGGTAGGCCCAGTATGCTACCTTGTATTCTCAGGAATTCAGTGAAAACAGGAAATCAACAACGTTTTGAGGATGGGACGATAAATCGTCAAACAGTACATTTTGTATTATAATGTAATTGATGTGAATCATGTAAACATGTGCTTTGATGTAACGTTTTCAATTATATTTGTGTTGGTTGTATTTACTTTGAACACTATTATACTCATTGTTGTGATACTCTACATGAAGTCCTCCACCCCCGGACGTTTCCGCCATCCTTGGTTTGGGGGTGTGACAAGAGTTATGTTGTTGTGGACAATAAATGAATTTCCATCTCGTAGTAGTCTATTAGGTTTGAGGGAGCAAGGGTACATAGCATGTCCTACTTGCAATGAAGACACTCCTTTCGTACCATGCACCAAATAAAGTCATATATATTGTTCATCGTCATTTCCTAGATGCTAATGATCCGTTAAGAAAGAGGTTGGGTTTAACAAGATGGAGGAGACAAGACACGCTTCAAGACACTTTAGTAATGACGACATACAAGAACAACTAGGTCGTCTACAAACTCGTCAACCGGGTAAAGATCCTCAGTACGGAGGTGGGAAGATAAAGCGGCAAGATTTTGAGTTAAACGGGTCGAAACGGAGCATTTTCTTTGAAATTGAGTATTAGTCTTCTTTGTAGCTGAACACAACATAGATTTCATGCATGTCAACAAAAATGTAGACGAGAGTTTGTTAGGTACTCTTTTAATGAACGATAAAAGTAAAAACACATCAAATTAATGAGAGGGCTTGAGAAGTCTTTTGTAAATTTATAAAAGATGTTAAAATGCCAATAGGTTTGGGTGTAACATCAGTAATAAAGTGAACGATACCACTACTAACATTATTAGGTTGAAATCTAATGACCATCACATTTTTATGCAACGTTTGATACTGATTGGAGTTAAATGGTAGCTAGAAAAGACACTTATACACCTATTTTAGACCTTTGTACATTTTCATTCAGCTTTGCAATAGAACACTAAAGGTAGATGAAATGAGGAAAGCAGAATTAAAAATTATTGCAATCTTGTTCAAGTTAAAACTTATTTATCCTCCGTTGTTTTTTGACATTATGCTTTATTTAGTTTTGCATTTACCTGATAAAATGAGATGGGTGTATCTCTTTAAAAGGTATATGAAAAAACTAAAAAACTATATGAAAAAACTAAAAAACTATGTCTGAAACAAGGCAAGGCCGGAAGGTTCTATAAATGAGGGTTATGTTGCTGAACAAGTTTTATCATTTTGTTCGATGTACCTTCGAGATGTGTAGACTCAATGCAATCACCCTGAAAGAAATGAAGATGTTGTCGTTGAAAAAAACAAAGTTTTAGACGTTTGAGTCTAAATGTCGACTGACCAACGCAACTCAAATCAAAATCTAAATCTAACAGAAATGCGTAACATAGAATGGTTTGTACTAAATAACTGTGAAGAAGTCGGACAATATATGTTGTAGTCTTCTTTATATCCACAAGGGCTATTTTAAAAAGACAATCTTAGACTCCACAAATATGTTGGAGAGACAATCTTAGACTCCACAAATATATTGGAGAGACAATCTTGAACTTCATAGTATTCAAAACCGAATACCCAAAATTTCAGATATTCTAATTTTGGTTTTGAAAATTTCGGAAAGTGGATATTGATATCCGAATGTATCTAAAATTTTGAATATTTAAAGTTTTGGATACGGATTCGATACAATATGGGATTTCCAAAAACTCTTAACTTTCTAAAAAAAATCTCTCTATTTAGACCTTATACATTATAAACCAAATTTGTTTTCCTTTTCATTTGACTATTAATTAAACAATTATGTGAATATAGTAAGTCACCACAAAAAATAATGTTAAATAACATATATTTAAAAAAAAGTAAAAAAATAATAATAATAATAATAATAAGACATAGCAAAGTCACTAAGCTACATCAAGTCTCCAAACTCTCCCCATCGATTCGGAGAGTATATCTAATATCTGAAATATTCAAAAATTTAGAAAAGTACTATTTGATAACCAAATCCGAGAAGTCGTATATTCGATATGTCCTAAAATTCAAATAATTTCAAATCGGATTTTTAGATAATCATAATTTTTAACATATATATATATATATATATATATATATATATATATATATATATATATATATATATATATATATATATATATATATAGGGTTAGGTTCATGTGACACGGCTTAATTTTGTGAGACCGTGAGATGCATTTTTTAATTTCTTTTTATTTTTTTTAATTTTTTTTAATTTTTTTTAGTTAATTCAAGTTCCGAAAATAATATTTAAAAAAAGAATTTTTTTTATTTTTCCATTTATTTTGCATTTTAAAATTATTTTTAAAATATGTATAATATAATATTCTATTTAGAATATTTCACGTATTTTTCAAAAAAATAGGATTTTTTTTAATTTTTTTTAGTTAATTCAAGTTACGAAAATAATATTTAAAAAAAGAATTTTTAGATTTTTTCATTTATTTTGCATTTTAAAATTATTTTTTAGAATATGTCAGCGTAATATTCTATTTAGAATATTTCACGTATTTTTCAAAAAAAAAACGAGATTTTTTTTAATTTTTTTTATTTTTAAAATTTTTTTATTTATTTTTAGTTAATTGAAGTTCCGAAAATAATATTTAAAAAAAGAATTTTTGGATTTTTCCATTTATTTTGCATTTTAAAATTATTTTTAGATTTGGTCTCACGGTCTCACAAAATTAGTATGGTCTCAAATGAACCTAAACCTATATATATATATATATATATATATATATATATATATATATATATATATATATATATATATATATATATATATATATCTTCTCCCTATACTAATAAAAAAATAGTTCTTTTGCCACGTGTCACAATATTAGGTCTTCTAATTAATATCATGTCATTTATCAATCTATTGATTTTTTATTTCAAATTTCAAATTTTAAAATTTTCATTTTAATTACATTAAATTAATAACATTAGAACAGAATAAAATAAAATTAATACAAATTATAAGATGATATAGTTTTATGTATTTATTTGAATCAACGATTATAATTTTATATATAACTAAAAAAAAATATCTTTTAAATGATAAGTTATATAAAATATTTAATTAATAGTTTTAAGTTTTTATTTAGAAATTTTAATTAGTTTTATAACCATAATTCTTACGGGTTAAAAACTAGTGTGTGTGTCATATATATATATATATATATATATATATATATATATATATATATATATATATATATATATATATATATATATATATATGTGTGTTAATTTAAGACCATTATATTTTGTAAGACATGAGGGCACAATCCAATGGAGATAAAAAAATTATTTTTAAAATAAAAAATAATTGAAATTTTTTGAATTTTTTTAAATATTATTTTCGTCATTTATATTTTCCAAAAAAATTTTAAAAAATTATTGTGTTTTTTTTTTTTTTTTTTTTTGAAGTATTTGTGAAATATTCTAATAAAATATTATAGTATAAAAATTACTACAAAAGTGTTAGAATTTTCATATATTCTATTACAATATTAGATTATAAATATTTAAGATATTATTAGTGATTTTACATCTCAAAAACTAAAATAAGCATTTTTTTTTAATATATGGGTTTTTATAATCGAAAGAGTAAATTATTGAAATCGTCCCTATGGTTTGGTCAAAATTGCACGTTTGGTCCCTAACTTTTTTTTTGCACTCGGATCGTCCCTGTGGTTTGATTTGTTGCGTTTTTCGTCGCTATGGTTTGGTAAAAATGCATGTTTGGTTCCTAACTTTATGTATGTAAGGGACGAAAAATGAAACAAAATCAAATCACAGAAACGAAAAACGCAACAAAATTAAACCATGGGGATGATCCGAGTGCAAAAAAAAAAAAGTTAGAAACCAAACGTGCAATTTTGACCAAACCACAAGGACGATTTCAGTAATTTACTCTAATCGAAAATATTATATTTAGAAGCTACTATAAGTAAAAAAGAAAAAAAAATTATTAAGTTAATATAAAAAAGTTGATGAAATTTATATAAGTGTCTTTTTTCCTCTTTCGTATTGGGTCCAAAATATGTATGGACAACCTTGCATACGGAAGATTTAAAGTTTTTTTTTTAACAAAAAAAAAACTAACGAAAAGATTAGAAAATTTTTCTAACATAACTTTTCTAACAAAAATTGAATTTTTTCTATAAAAATTAAACCGAAAGGCTCTACTTCAGTTGAAGTTGATATTTTTTTATGAACGGATGACGACAGATTCGTTATAAAGTAATCTCAAGTAAAATATTGCATTAAAGGATAGGTGTGATATATTATAGTACAAAAATTCATTAACATAATAGAAATCAAAATGAAAGTAAGGGGACTTCTGAAAAATAAAGATGGAGATGCGGGGTATCGATCCCCGTACCTCTCGCATGCTAAGCGAGCGCTCTACCATCTGAGCTACATCCCCATTTGTTATTAAATGTCCTAAGAGTATAATATTAACTCTCTTCCATAAATGCAAATTATACAAATTTAGCAATCTACACTCTACCAAAAATCTATGCCTTTTGTTGAATTAACCGACGAAAGTTGATCCAAGTTAACTTTAAATATTATTTTGCTGGTAATTTGCTTTTCAAAATCTTTTATTCCATGTTGTGTTCTTTAAACCTTTATTTATTTGTTAGACTATTCATATGCATTACATTCACAAGCAAAAATTTACTATTATTACTCATAAGATTATCACGATTTCGTTCTAAACATTTCATTAAAAAAAACAGAACCTTTACTTCTTTTACTAAGACCTAATGAAACTTTTAGCTTTTTTTTTTTTTTTTTTTTTGAGAAAACACATACATCGGTAACAAGATGATACTACATTAACTTAGATTAAATACCTAAAACACGAAAGAAAACCAAAAAAAAAAAAAAAAAGGTGAAATTTTTTTATCCCTCCAGTCCTGTTACATATATAGTTACAACAAGCATGATGGGAGCCAAAGAAAGAAACCAAAAGTCTCTCTCCTTCAATGATGTACACCCAACAAGGGAAACTTTCCCTTTCCTGTACTACTTACTACACCAACACCATAAACCCTAAAATTATGTACACCAAACTACCAAATTCATAACCAAAAAAAAAAAAGATACAACGAACTACCAACAACATAATTAATTAACCAAAAAGAATCAAACTTTTTAATACTTCCCATTCCCATTACCTTTTTGGTCACCCCTGCTGCTTTTCCACTCCATTGGTACAAGTTTCCGAAGCTTTGGAGGCTTATTTAGTAATTTCCCAGGTGGAGTTGTTGTGATGGATCTCTTCATCGGGCTACTGTTGCTTTGTTCCATGGATACATTCTTGAAAGATTTATTGGGTGACGATCTGCTGGATTGCGGCGTAGTGGTTGGCCAATGGTAATGCGCCGCTTTGTTTGTGGGGTCATTTGTGGAGACACGGAGTTTCTTTTGAGCATGTGTCTTGATGTCACTGGTGGGACCCACAACAGGTCGTGAAGATGGGATCGCGAATAATGCTTTTTCTAGTTTTTCATCCGACATTAATTTGGCGGTGGTTGTTGTCGTTTGTCTTATGGATTTTTGGGAAGATGATTTCTTTTGCCATCTAACGGTCCCGATTTGATCTTGCTTGCGATAGCGCGCTGCAATGTCGCATAATGTCTGCGCAGCAGATAATACCCCTGCAGAATTCCCACCTGTTGAACATCAAACGATTATATACTATTTATGTAATCTTACTTTTAGAAAACGGGGACAAAAATGGAAATTCACCTGGATTTTTAGAAGCCCCACGATCAACCATTGCATTACTGGTAGATGGTAGTTGAGATTTTTCATTTTCGGTGGGCCCCATCCATTTACGACCTAATGGAACTAGGTTTTCATTATAAGTTAAAGACTCAAAATCTGCAAGATAAGTTTTTGTAGTTGTTGTGTCTCCTGATGAAGTATTTGTTTTCCCCATTTTGGCCCATCTGCCTTGACATGTACTTTTACTTGGGGTTGACTTGACCACATCAGGGTTAGCTTTAAAATGGCCTCCCGAGATATGTGACCATGGAAATGTTGGTAAACTACCTCCGTTTTGTACTGGAATCAATCATTAATCATCAATCATCATTCAAGAATGTTAATAGTTTAATATCGTATTATATGAAGATTTGTTATTGATTATGGAAAAATGTAATATAAAGATTTTACCTTTTGAGGTTGAAGTAGGTTTCATGCTATCGAGGAGCATAAGATCGAGATCCTTGGGTGGAAGAAGAGAGAGGCGATCTAAAACATCTTTTGGTGGAAATAACGGGAATTGAAGTATATTTGTGTGATCAGTAACAGCAACCTTAAATAAAGCAATTAATAAAGTAATTAGTAGGGCTTTCTTGTAAATAAAAGAACGATTGTCATGATTAAAAAGATTATTCGGTTTTTTTATTAAAAAAGGGAAAAAGAGACTAACCTTTTTACAAGAAGATGGATCTCCTGCATCTCCTTTATTGTCATCATTCATGTTAGCTCCAGAAATGGCAGCATTTGGTAAGGAAGAAGAAGAAGCATTATGATTATGATTATGATTTCCATCTACAGGTGCCACATTTGGGGTTTGACTAGTTTGACCAGGCTTCTTAAGTTGAAGAATTGAGCAAGCTTCTCTAACTGATAGCAAAATTCTTCCATTTACAGCTTCTGTTTTCTTTTCCTTGTCTTTCATGGAATCAGGACACTTGTAACTACCATCAAGAAGCTCATTCAGTGACACTTCATCCAAATGCTTTCCAAAATCGCATATATCATGTTTCGAACCATATACCCCTGACCAAAAAATCAAAAAAGATTTTATAAAACGTGTTAACAACGAAAAAATTTAATGCCAAAAAAATAGAAGATATACCAAGTATGTTGTTTCCACCAGCGGATGAACTGAAGCTTGACAAGCCTGCTTTTACAGAAAAAGAATCACATTTGCTTTTAGGAATTTTGCCATTTCTTTTATCGCTTCGTTTCCCAGATACAGTTGTTTTCTGTTTAGCTGCAAGTGTAAAAAGTGAGAAAAAAAAAAATACGGGAATAATGGTAAAGTATTAGTGATAGTATTTGTTTTTTATTACCTGAAACGTTGTATTTTCCAGGATAAGAAGATCCTTGCTCCTTTTGTGGATCATTTGCTTCGATTACTCCTGTTAGATTCATGGAAGCTTCCATATGTGCTGCTCGTGACCTTTTAGAACTACTTCCATTGCTTCTAGATGATTTCCCAGACTTTCTGTGTGATTGTTTAGCCTCTGGTACAGAGGCCATATCATGGTCAACAAATGTTTCTTCACTACGATGACTGGACAGTTGACCGGTTGACCTGTAGAGGTCCTCTTCTGACATCTTGTTCCAGAAAACTGGTCTTGAACCATTGGCATTACAGTTGTCATCTGTCCATGTACAGATACATACATCATTTCAGTTCAGGGTGCATCGTTTATTTACTTGAATGGAAATCAAGTAGCATAAAGTAAAATGTGATGTTGTGCAAAGTTGCAAACCCTAGATTGCAGAGATGACTTGTTTATATCCTCTATGACTTCAATCACTAAACAGCAAATGCTATTTCAAAGAACATGTGCAATTTAGATGATATCAACACAAGATTACTGCCCATCTTTACCGAAAAGCTACGTTTTGACTTTTGATGTCAAAAAAGAGTTGCTTTACAGCTTCGAAATTGACATGGATTTAGCTCTCGGAGGAAAAAGAAAAAAAAAAAAAAAACTCTAACGACATCAAAAGGTATATGACAAGAACAGTTAATTTTGAAGTAAAACCCGAATCAATTTTGAAAATGTTTTGCATTAGGTTGAACACCCAAATTTGAAGACTAACCGTATGGAGAACGAAAGGAGTAGAGAATAAATTTGAAGAGGAACGGATCTCAGATAAACTAAATATATAAGTATAGATAGGAAATCAACACCTTTCTCCGGAAGAAATGAGCCACTGCACGTTTCACGCTCCGATTGATTCCCTAGCAACTCCACCCTAGTAACCCCACCTCCACCACTGCAACCTGACGATCTCATGATCTTTGTAACAATAGCAGCTGGAAGTGGTAACTCCACCGCGTCCATGTATTTCACCACCGCGAAATCCAAAACATCGTCGCTGCTTCCGCTATCGTCAACTTCGATCTACCAAACCAGCGATTGACGACCCAATTTTGACCATTTTGTATTGTAAACCCCGATTAGTTAAAATTGATCAAGTAACTAGAATGAAGGCATCGAGTAATTGAGGGTTTGTGAAGAGAACATTTGGGGATTTTCAGGAGAGAGAGAAAGGGGAAAGGGTAGTTGCGGCTGGGCTAGGGCAAAGAAATTATGAGGAGTATATATAGTTTTCGGGAAAAGGGCGGAGTGTGGGTTGGTAGGGTTCGCCGGTAAGTATATTCCGGCGAGTAGTGGGACCCGCTTATCCAAGGAATACAATAAGCTTTGAAGTGTGAACGTCATTTCATATAAAAAGTTTATTCTATTCAAATTTCAATTCCTAAATAAAAATCAAATCTAAAATAAAACTCAAACTCTACTGATTACTTGATTATGTTCATACTTTCCTTGCTTTCTTCTTTATATTTGATCTTAGCAAATGATCATTAATTTACCAACACACATTTGCAAGATCAACAAAAGACAAATATTTCAAATTATATAACAAATTTGAACAAATAATTCCAATTAAGTAAATACTAAGATTTCCTCACAAATAGACAATTAAACACACTTTGTGTGTCACCTAGGATAAATAGTTACAAAACTTCTACATCACACTCGAACCACATATGATTACTATGGAGTATGAACATATAAGAACACAAATTGTAAATTACAATACATAAAGTTTTCTTCCAAATAAACATAATATAATATAAAATGCCCAATAACTTAAATTTTAATTTCACAAAAAATAATAATAATAATAATAATAATAATAATAATAATAATAAAACAAAACAAAACAAAAACAAATGAATGTAAAAAAAATGAACAATTAATTTTTTATACATTGAGAACTAACAAGAAACTAGAAAAACAAAACAAAACAATTAATTCATCCAAACCACCCAACTTATTTTCAGTTTCGTAAATCAAAAAATAGACAAATTATGCATGCTAGCAACTATATTATCAAACAATGCATCATTCCTCAACGGCTTGGAGGCATAAATGACCAAGTTACAAAACTTCTATATCACAATCGAACCACAACAAGAAGAAAATAAAGAATTAACATCAATCTATTTGTTAGATTAATCGATTATCTTAGGGAGCCGATAAAAAAGAAGCATCCATACAAATATGTTAACTTTTTTTAAGAACAAAGTTGCACCATCTAGTTTGGAAAACACCATCCACCAAGGATATATTATCAATATGACTCATGAACAAAGCTACTATGAACTACCATCTAACTCCCAACTCCAAGTGTTCATAGTGTCCGAAATATGAACTAGCCCCAACAAGGACATCAAGGCCGAGAATTGTCCCTCCTCGATACCACCTCTTATTTGCCTTCTCCAAGACCATGCCCACTCTCTCATCCTCCTGCGATCATTGTGTACTCGTGTCCTACAACAAAAAAAATTCAATGATACAATTGCATAATAGGAACATCCACAACCCACATGTCCTTTTCAAAAGAGCAACAAACTTACATCTTCAACCTTATATTTCATAGTAGAGTGTGAAATAATACATTTGCATTGTAGATGACTGATAGAGCCAACAATTCGACTCGAAGCCCCACATATTTTACCACCCGCCTCCCAAGGGTCAAGCGCTCTTCCTCCCATGAATAGCCTTGATGAATGTTACCCATAAACCTCCAACACCATCCTTGTAATAAAGCCTTGTTCAAAGCTTTTGCACTACCGTTAAATTGCCTTTTTTTTTCTTTGGAACCCAACGTGACATCCCATTTCACCTAACTTATTTTCTCCCTTTTTCATCACATACCGAAAAAAAATAGATATGGTTGATTTTAGTAAAATCAAACGACCCTCAATAGGAGCGAATTCCACTTAGACAAGTTGGATGTAAACCTTTCCATGCTTACATCCCATGCCTTTCTCGAGCCATATTTACACCAACTAAAATACCAAGATACTTGGAAATGCATCATATCTATACCATAGACAAATCGCATGAGCATTGAACCTCATTTGTACTCAGACCCACACCAAGTAGCATATAAATTTGTAAATTAAGACGGAACCTAAATAAAAACAATGCAACACACTAACAAGATTCTTTATATTTTGTCGAGCCCAATGCCTTACAATCAAGTCATTATCCGTATAAAATAAATGAAAATTGGAACACCGCAAAACAAAAAAACACCACAAGTAGCATCATTCAAAGCCACATGCAAACCCTCCGTCAAGAGAATAAACAAAAAACAAAGATAGTTATCACAAAAGGAAAAAAAATATATCACAACATTTCCTTAAATCAATATATTTCTAAT